CGCGGGTCTGGCCCTGCGCAAGGGAATGGGGGGCAGCTCGAGTGCCGGCGGGGTCGGCCCTTTGCTGGAAAGAGGGGCAAAAAGAGGGGTGTAAAATGTGGGAAGGGAGGTCCCAGGGCGCCGTGCTGGGATGTCTCAGCCGGACTCGCTCCCTTTGCAGGGTTTGATCCGAAGCTCTTCCTGGTTTTCTTCCTGGGCCTCCTGCTGTTCTTCTGCGGGGACATGCTGAGCAGGTGAGGAACGTTGTCCCCCCGGCTTCCCGGCTGCCTTCCTGATGCCTCCGGCTGTTGGGGCTCCCTTTGGCTCCTGGGGAGCTGTACAAGACCCTCGTACGTGTGTGTGTGACCTCTGCAGGAGCCAGCTCTTCTTCTACTCGGCTGGCATCAGTGTTGGCCTGCTGGCCTCGCTGCTCATCCTCATCTACGTGATGGCCAAGGCCATGCCCAAGGTGAGGGACCGCAGCGGAACAGCCCCTTCCACCCCCACAAGGGTGAACACAACCTTGCCGGGCTTGGTGTGTGGGGAGAAGTATTCCGCGGGTGCCGATTCTCCCATCTCCCTTCCTAGAAAAGCCCCGTTTACCTCCTGCTGGTGGGAGGCTGGTCCTTCTCCCTCTACCTCCTCCAGCTGGTCTTCAAGAACCTCCGCGAGATCTGCAGCTCCTACTGGCAGTACCTCCTGGGTGAGCGTGGCCGGGCCGGGGAAACCGCCGGGGCTTCCTGCCCTCCTTGGGACCCCAGATCCCGCCCTGGCGCTGCCCAGAAGGGCTGGTGACACTGCCTGAGTGTCCCCACGCAGCGTCCCTGCTCCCACAGGCTACCTGCTGCTCGTGGGCCTCGCGAGCTTCGGCGTGTTCTACCGCTACGGCCCGCTGGAGAACGAGCGCAGCATCACGCTGCTCTCCTGGAGCCTGCAGCTCCTGGGGCTGCTGCTCGTCTACTCGGGCATCCAGATCCGCCCTGTGGCCCTGGCTGTCGTGGTCGCCGCCGTCTGCAGCAAGAACCTGGACTACCCCCTGCGCTGGGCCTGGGCCGCCTACGGGTGAGGGCTGCCGCTCCCGAGTGGCAGGGCCCGCCAATCCTTCCGGGG